CCAAAAAACGGCTATGCAAATCTGTATCATGAGGGTTTAAGCAGTGACTTGGAAATGCTGGGGTTTGCAGGGTGTTGTGCATTTGTGCTACAAGACAGTATGGGCTGCACGCTGCAGGAAAGGGGTGCTACTAGGGAAGTGATGGGAAGTGGCAGGAAGCATGTGTTATCAGGCACACACTGAGGGGCAAGGCACCTCTTCCTCCCTGTCAAGGGCAGGCCAGCAGCCTGCTGACTCATCTTACTAGCTGCTGAGAAGCTATGGCCACTGCCTCCCACAGCTCGGCAAGGCAGGGACGGGCAGTAGCCGAGTACTCACTGCAGGGTGAAGTAAGTGCGTATCAAGCAGGGAACTGATCTCACCGGTGAAACAGCTTTACAGATATTGAGTCCTGGTTGTAGTACCTCAGACTCATGAGCCGTGCTTTCCATACCCATGTTCTGTCTCCTGGTTCTACCTTTGCTTTTTCTCCTTCTGTTACATCATTTGGCATTGAGTGAAAATACCAAGTAAATGACAGCTCGTGAGCCTGCAGCAGAAGGGTGTAGGAGCCTGAGCCTCAGCGAGCAACTTAGTAATAAACTAACTGGGTGAAGGCCCTTAAAATCTACATTAGGCCTCTGTTATAAAAAATAATCGAAGTGAACTCTCCTTGGGGAAAAAACAAAACAAAATACTAAAAAGCTCTGGGCTATAAAAATGTCAAGCCCAGGCTGTCACACTACTGGGTTTGGAGCTGGCCATGTGGATTTGCTACATTTGTTCCCTTGCCAACAAACAATGTATGGTTCACCTTAGCACTTCACCCTACAGCTCTGAGCTCAGCTCCCTCGGACATATTTTTCCCTCTGCAGAAATCATACTTTTCAGGTCTGTGTCAGTAATCACACAATAAAAAGAGACCTGCACCAATGGGAGGATGAAAAAGACTTAGGGATCTTTTTCAGTAGCCCTGCTTTTTTAATGTCTGGGCTTAGTTGGTTTTTTAAAATCATTTTTAAAAGGTAATTTCATTAAAAAATAATTTACATGGATGTTTAAAATCAAAATCAGTCTTGATTAGATATTTCCTCAAAGAGAGAATCTAGAAGTGTAAACTTCTTGGGTTACATAATCAGTTTTTTAACTTGAATTTGAATGTGTCTAGTTTTAAGCAAGCGATGTGTAGTACAACTAAAGTTAATCTAGATATCGAGAAAAATATGTGTATGTGTACTGATTCTTTATACAAGAATGCATTTCATAAAAATGTTAAAGAGTTTTATGTGCCCAAAGATAACACTAGCAGCGACACAACATAACATTTAAAAAATCTTTTATGTAGTGATTTAATCAACGATGAAAGCCAGATCTCCTCCAATTCTTTCTATAATTACCCACTTTCAATTCTAATTCATGTATTCATTCAATCATTTCTTTTATCAATAAAACATTTATTCAGTGGCTACTCAATGAAATGCCCAATAGTAGCTGCCCCACAGAGCTGTTCAAGATATCACAAGAACACAGAAAAGGGCCTCTGGCTTAGCCCAGGGCCTGAGATTAGTTGAGGTCAGCAGGAACTTCCGAGAGGAAATGATGCTAAACTGGAAGGTTTAATTAAGTGAAAGGGGATGCGGTTAGTGCAGGGCAGGAGGCAGGCATGAAGGTGCACACGCAGATCACGGCACATGCAGGAAACTGAGAGGAATTCTAATAGAAGAAGTAAGGTGCTGGAGGACGTAGGCAGAGGGCAGCCTTGCCAGAGGATGCATGCCTGCGGGGCCTTGTAGCATCTGAACCTGCTAATTGGACATTAGTCCTAAAGCTATAACTAAATGAATGAGAGACATGAAAAGAATAGCCAAAAATATTTGCAAAAACTATCTGGATTAGAAAGGTTATACAGTCATGTTGGCCCTCAGTTTTCATCCGTATGTTTTCAATTGTGGAAATGAAATTGATGAACTCTAAAATATTATTAATGGGAGGAATATTTAGCTGGTCTTTTAAACTGTTGAGTAGCCCCACAGTGTGGTGACCTGGAAAGTTAGGAAGCCCGCGGCGGGAGCACCAAGCTGTCGCAGTCAGTGCATCCTGGTTCATGGCACATCCATGCACTCAAGCACAAAAGCTCTCCTGAGAAGTCTAACATTACAGGTCCCCAGGGTTGATCAACGAACAAAGAGGTCGAACTTTGTTTCCTCAGGTTCCATTATATTCATCCACTTTTTAATCCAATAAATACATAGATAGTGCATTGCCTTTGTTCGGTTCTTATTCTACAGGCTACTCCACCATTCAGGACTCCTTTCTGTATTTAAGCAGAGGCACACACACACTCCACCCTCAGCCCTTCCAGCTCTCCTCTTCCTGGGTGCCGACATCTGCACTGTCACTGTTAGCTGAACAGATGTGCTGGCAAGCAGATGCCATCAGAGGACCAGCTCGGAGGCCCCATGCCCAAGTGTACACCAAGCCAGCCCTTGTGGTGCTAACCAGTGTCTGCAAAGAACAGCGTTTACTCTGCAGCAGATAGGAAAAGCTAAAGGGTTTTGTAGTATGTCTTAAAGCTACTCACTATTTGCCATCCTTTGATCCCTCAGACCATGCCTATAGACAATGCTTCCACAAAATCAAACTCTCTAGTAGATGATATATACCAAAGGTCACCAATTTTTTTCAAATGTTTTTCTTAGGTATTTGTTAATGGAAAAGTTGAACTTTAGTGTCATATTTTCTTCTGCTATACTAAGCTGTAGGTCTTTAACATATACTTTGAATCTTTAATCTCCTTTCCTCAGGGGTAGCATTAGGCACCTATGCAGGCTTCATTTGCATCCTGTTTATCCTAGCTCCTGGCTCTCCTTTTATATCCTCCAAAGGGCCTTTTCTTCTCCTCTCAATCTGATTTATGTATTCAGCATTGTGCTGATTTCCTTCTTCTCAAATGCTGAATTTAATTCCCCAACTAAAGCATAAATGCCTTGCTTATTAGCATATAATTTTGCTCTTACATTTCTCAGATTAATTGTCATCTTGGGCACTAAAACTTCTGATTACAAATTCCTCCTTTCTTGTTAAATATCCATAACTATTATTTTCCTTATTTTAAATCAATATGTATTGCAAAATCTTTTATGGCTCTGTAATCTGGCACCAGCTCAGCCAGAAAAATAACAGAATGAATACTGTTTGAATGCTTTGATAGTGTTTTGGTGCAATAAATATATAACAATGTAAAATCATATTTCTTTATGATTTGTTTTGTAGGAAATAACCCATTTCTTCCATTTTCTCTTTCTTTGACTGCACATAATCTTGATATTGGAATTGGTAAGCACAGAGTCACTTTTAAAGAGCACCATACCTAAGGATAGAGCTTTTCCCTTTAAGCCATAAGGAAATAGTTCCTAATATAATCTAATCTGAGTGAGTCACACTAATAATTTTAATATTTCATGCAACACAAATTATTATTGAGATGTCTAATTTTATATATTAAATGTTGTAAAGAATACATAATATAAAATTTACCATTTATAAATGTTCAGCTTAGTGCTACTAAGTATATTCACACTGTTGGGCAACTATCCCCACCTGCCATCTTCAGAACTCCTGTCATTTGGCAAAGTGACAACTCTGCACCCTTTGGACAATTGTTGTTCACTTCTCCTCCTCCTGAGCCCCCAGAAGCCACCAGTTTACTCTGCCTATGTGATTTTGACTGTTCTATGTGCCTTAGATAGATGAAATCATTCAGCATTTGTCCTTTGGTGACTCATGTCACTCAGTACAACATCCAGGAGGCTCATCTGTGCTATACATGGGTCAAGATTTTCTCCATCTTTAAATCTGTCCTCTCCCAGTTTATGCACGGACCACAGCTTGTTTATCGACTCATCAGTGGACACTTAAGTTACTTCTAAATCATGTCTGCTGTGTGTTTATGTTTCTAGGAACATAAGTGGACAAATGCCAGTTAGATTCCCTGCTTTCAGTTCTTCAAGGTTTTTATCCAGAGGTGGAATTGCTAAGTCACGATAATTATATTTTCACTTATTTTGAGAAGTTGCTTTCTGTAGTGGTTCCAGCATTTTATAGTCATACAAGTAGAACATAGGGTTCTAATTTCTCCACATCCACCTAATACTTTCTTTCAATGCCACCCTAATGGTGGTGAAATGAGAAACTTATCAACTAAGATTACACATTAGTGCCATTTTAAGAGGCGCTATTTGAGAAGAATTTGTTTCCCTAAATTGTTTCTGGCCATTATCCATTAAATTTATCTCAATTATGGATCTGAAGGAGAATGTAGAAATCTTCCAGCTTAATCATTCTACTTTATAGATGAGAAAATTATACCTAAAGTGCTAAATGGTTTACCTAAGGCCTGTCCCGACCCGCGGGTTAGTCAACGAGGACCCTAGAGGGAGAGTGGGGATGAGAAGGGATAGGAGACACAAAGAATGGAGACAAGACAGGATTCTGATCAAGTCTCGTTTATTCAAAGGAAACTCTGGGTATATATAGTGGAGGCATAGGGAAATGACATTGGCAGGTAAAAGGTGACATAGGCGGGCTATGACAGGAAGACCTACCTCCGGGGCATAGCAGGAGACTTATGGGAAATAGGCAGGGTAAGAAGAATTAGGAGCTTAGCTCAGCAGAGGTAGGGGAAGAGAAACCTGGAAACCCACTTGCAATAGGATTGGAGGCCTGGAGTTATTGAGCCTCCCACAGGTCCCCCTTTACTTTTATATATACACGTAAAGTATTGCTTCTGTAAATGGCTGATTCCCTTGAGAGGGCAGTGCCTGTCTTAGGTCAAGGCGTCCTCTACACAGACCCGACTCAAACCTTACCCATCATAGGAGACCGGGACGGCAAAAGGTCCCGTTCCTGTCTTAGGCGGCGAGTGGTGTCTCGTGTATGCCCCTCATTACCTGTCTCTGGCTAGCCTGACCATCTCACCAAGGGTGGGAGAACTAAGAGGTCTCCAGACCTTCATCATCATAAGCTGGTTGTATTCCAGCCCAGTTTTCCCTTTCAGCCATCTCAAGCCTGTGATAATGAACCTGAATAGGCTTCATCAAGGCCGCATCCAACTGCTGTCGAATGAAAGCCATTAGCCTATTAAAAATGCATGGACCAACTGAAACCAGAAGTAAGAGGGTTATCAGGGGTCCTAAGATGGGTAGCTTTAGGAATGTCTAAGGTTTAAGTATCTCTGTCAGCTCCACGTGATTTGGGGAGTGCCAAGGGATTGTAATGGATCTTTGGGAACATTCATTCCCAGATCTCTTGTAATCTCTTCTCTTTTCTACAAAATGTTCTCTGAGAGAATCTTGGGGCCCTCCTCTATCAGAAACATGAATGGGGGTGCTCTGGCTCCAGCAAACTGGCTTCCCTATCATGCCTGTGCACAAAGCCTGTAGGTATTTATTGGGTCCCAAGATTTGGGGAATAGTCAACCATTCTCCCAAGGCAGCAGCCGGCTGTAAGCGTTGTAAGGTGGCTGTGAAATAAGTCTGGTTGTTAGGGCCCAGGCATTCTCCGATTTCCATGTAGCATGAAGAATGCATTTGGGTATAATAAGTAGTGCATTCCCGTGGGCACGTCGAAGGGGCCTCGCTGCGGGGCACAATCTTTGATTTAATATAGCATTTCCAACCAGTCTGCTTTCCATGTTGGGATGTTACCTGGATGGCAAGGTGAGCTACTTTTGACCCATAATCTGTCTGTTGGAAGCCCACCATTAAGGAGAGTTTGCCAGAGGGAGCACCACTGGTGCCTGCAAGGCTTGTGTCATATTGGGGGGGTAATTCTGAGGATGTGCCTCCTTTACTATCACACGGATTACCATAAAGGGATTTGAGTAGGTCCTCCTTGGATGCTGGTGTCCCAAAGCAGCCATCGATGGTCTTGACCAGAACTAGGAAAACTCCCAGTGGTAGGATCCATTGTAGATGACTCATTGTCTGTAAGGAAACACAAAAATATTCTCAGGGTGCACTTGAGTCCCTGGAATCATCTATGAGGTCATTCTCTATCTGGTCGATTTGATCTACCTGTTTAACCAGTCTTTCCACAATTGAAACATTTATTTTTATCCTTTTGGGAGAGGAATTGCCTAATGGTGAACCCTTGTTGTGCCGCAGCCATGGCAAGGCCCTGTTGGTAGGCTGGCCCTATGAGACGAATGTAACCTGAAAGGTCAGATCCCTTTTTATGAGGGCGTATCGCAGCTTGGCAGGCTGCATTTGCATTCTCAAAAGCCAGTTGCTTGATTAGATCAGAATTAGACTCTACACTACCGAAGAGTCTCTCAGCGGCTTGGAGCACCCGATGGTCAAAATCTGGAAATGGCTCTTCTGGGCCCTGTTTCACGTTTGTAAGGGAAGTAGTAGCCTCCCCATGGGAGGGCAGCCTTTTCCATGCCCCGGTCGTGGCCAGCTGAATCTGAGCAAACAGGCCTGCATCATACCTAGATCGAGCTTCGGTGGTGGAAAAGTCCCCCACACCTGCTAGCATCTCATAAGTCCAACCATTTCTAGCCTCTGCATTTCTTCTGGCTATAGAGTCACAATTTTCTAGATACTCTGACTTCTAGTGCAAGTAATCTCCACTGGACAAAGCAGCCTTGGCTAACGTATACCAGTCTTTAGGGGTGAGCCATCCCTGAGTCATAGAGTCTAATACAGTAAGTGTATAAGAAGCCATGGTGCCATATTGTGTGACAGCCTTTAACTCTTTTAACAGTTTGAGATCAAAAGGTGTGTGCATTCTAATAGTCTGGGGTTGTTCCCCTTCATTTCCTGCCCTTTGTGTCTCGGTCACCGGAAATGCCCAGTTGGCGGCCGTTTTGTTTTTAAGATTTGGCCGAGAAGGGGGGGGCAAAATGGAGGATGCCTCATGGTCAGTCCTCTTACTGTGAATCACTGCAAGCTCTTGGGCAAGGTTAAAACATTGTTTTTCTAATTGAATCTGTTTTCGGAGGTCTCTAACTTTATTTTCTAGCCCCTTAATCATGTTAGAAGATGCCCCTTTTTCCTTTAAGTTCTGAGAAAGTGAAATCTGTGGGATAGCGGGCGGTATTTAACAGCCTCATCACCCAGAGTTTTCCAATCAACAGCTTCCTCCCAGAGCCACCATTATTAAGTGTTAGACTCTGAAGGGTGGGCAAGTCAGGGTATACACTGGGAACCTCGGGGGCAGTGGGCGGCTCGGAAGTCGCAATGGGTGTAGCAGCCTCTTTGCCAGGGGGAGCATATAGAAGAGTCATTAACTCCTCTGAGTCCTCCTCGGAGGAGAAGGAGAGAGAGTCAGAGTCTGCCTGAGGGGGAGCCGGCGTGTTTTTTGCCAATAATTGAAGGATTGGTTCCCCTTCTGAAACAACCTGTTTAACCAGGGTATCCCAGTGCCTTTGTTGGAGAATTTCATTAATAAGATTCCAAAATGAAAAGGCAGTTACAAGGATCATTTCTGGTCCAAAGACCCTGTAATAATCTTGGAGGGCATCTCCCACTTGTAACTATCTCTTAGAATCAATTGTACCCTCCAAGGGGAACCAAGGGCACACCTTATGTATAAACTGAAAGTATTCACATAACTGTTTAACCTTAACCTTTACTCCTTGCACCTTTAATGCTTTGCTCAAACTTTCTACAAATATCTCATGTTCACTTAATGCCTGTCCCATTGCTGAAGGGAAGGGAGAAGGGGTTCCGTCTGCTTACTGAGGTTCAGACGTCACAGCAGGCAACTGCGGCACGAGCGTCTTACTTTCTCTCTTGCAGACTCTCTCGGATGGTTCCATCGCTGAATCCTCCATACCAGGTACCCCATACATTGGGTGCCACTTGTCCTGACCTGTGGTTTAGTCAATGAGGACCCTATGGGGGAGTGGGGATGAGAAGGGACAGGAGACACAAAGAATGGAGACTGGACAGGATTCTGATCAAGTCTCGTTTATTCAAAGGAAACTGGGTATATATAGTGTAGGCATAGGGAAATGACGTTGGCAGGTAAAAGGCACGAGTAACTAGGCAACCGGGCTATGACAGGAAGTTCCACCTTTGGGGCATAGCAGGAGACTTATGGGAAACAGGTGGGGTAAGAATAATTAGGAGTTTAGCTCAACAGAGGTACAGGAAGAGGAACCCGGAAACCCACTTGCAATAGGATTGGAGGCCTGGAGTTATTGAGCCCCCCACAAAGGCCCACAGCTAAATGATGTCAAAATTTCTATCTGTGGCCACATCAGATCCACCTGGAAACATACAAAAATTACCCATTCCTTGACCTCCCTCAGTCCTACCTAACAGATACTCTGGAGTTGTGGCCCAAAATCTGAATAGTAACGAGCTCTTCAGGGGATTCTGATGCACCTCAAATGTGAGGTGCAGTAGTCAAGAAAGTCACTTGTTTTATTCTGTCACCTTCAAACTGAAACTTTGAGGATCCAGAGCTCCACGCACACTTAGATAGGTTAAATTTCTTAGCACCTTCACTGGTATTATATGTATTATGATGCTATGTGTATTATATGTAATATAACATGACAAGGCATGACATATATGCATGATTTTCTTAAATGTCTCTACACTGGTGAAAAAAATGCTTTTCCTATCTTTGCTCCTTATATGCAATTGATCAAAAAGTAGAGGTTAAGTGAGAAGCACATCAAGTAGCAAGGGTGGCATCCCTCTGTGGTGACAGCATTTATTTTTTAGGACGGAAACAACACTTATCTGCTTGCCGTACATCTCCACCTAGATGCCCTGCCAGAGTCCTGCCAGCTGCATGTCCAACCTAGAACTAATTATCTTTGAAGTTGATGCTTATCTCACTGTGTTCTTTACTTTTGTTAAAAGCACTAATGCCCTCCCTATTATTCAGGCTGGAAATTAAGGAGTCATTTTCACTGCCTTCATCTTTCTTACCAGTGAATTAATTGCTTTAACTATCAATTCCACCTCTGCAGCATCTCTCCAATTTATCCCCTCCTTTCCCTTTGCACTTCCAATTTTGTAATTCATGTCCTTATTATTGGCTTCCTAAACTAACTAACTAATTGGCCCCTTCTGCAAATTAATCTTCCCTTGCCATGGCACTGATAGTGATTCATCTTTGCTCAAAAGCCTTTAAGTGTCTGATTTTATCTCAAATACAAATTATTTATTCTAGCATTCAAAGGTCTCTACATTGTGGAATTACATTCAGTTTATGTTTTCTCATTCATTCTTTTCATTCAAAAAGCACTGAACACCTGTTCTGTACCAGGCACTGGTCCTGGTTTTGTGACCCCTCCAGGCACCCATAGTCCTGACTCTCTCACAGGCCTTAGCATCCATACATGTCAGGTGTTCCTCATCCCATCTCTTCTTGAAGGTTTCACTCTTCCCATGCCTTTTTTACTGTCTGTTTAATACTCATTTTCAAATTCTGCATCAGTTGTTACTCTGATGTCTTACTGGATTCTTTCCTAAAATTCTTACTTCTTTCACTGAATGTTCTTTATCTACTCTATGCCTGGTCTCATTGTAATACATTTCTTTGTTCTCCTTCCCCATTGAATACTACTTAGGTCCGGATCCATACCTGAATCTACAGTAACTCATAGAAAAGTAGACATTCTGCTAATCTCTTGGGAATTAAATTAAAAAGCTGTCCTTCTGGTTTTATACCTAGTTTTTCCAATTTGAATTACTGAAGTCCTCTTTGAAAGAGATCAGTCTCAGTCTCATAAAGTATCCCTCCTCAAAAGATTAGCGATCTATGTATATTTTTTAAAAACTTAGTCTTGGGATGGTGTAACCTACCCACTATCTTTAAGGGCTTTCAGTAAAATAATTTATACATGGAGTCATTCTCAACATTTTATATCTATAAATGATCTCAGTCTCATATGTTTGTGTAAATGAGACCTACAGCTTTAATTAAGGGAGGCTGCTACATGGGATTCTGTGCTTTAAGACGGACAAAATAAGCCATTGCATGGATTTATTTTATGTTTTTACCTACAAAGTGGGGAAGCACACGGATGTATAATTTAAGGTGACAGCAGAAAAACTCAGGCATTGTGTGTACAGACAGGGTCAGCGCTGCTGCTCTTTCCTGTTGGTTCTGGTGAATCCAGTCTTTACCCTGAATTTTGATGTTTACCATGGAGTTGTGGGTGCACTTCACACTAATGAAAACAACATTAAAATATTTTTCATCTTGGTTACTGAGCTGGGTGCACTGTTTAATTCTGCACCCAATGCAGATATATTACCCCAACCTGATACAATGAGAGAAGGAGATAAACAACAAACAGGAAAGAAAGAAGAAAGGCGATTAGGGAAGTTGAATTGAATGAAGGCAGACAAGCACGCTTCAGAGAATGCTTTGTCTTTGTATTAGATGCCAGTATGATGAACAATTTTGCCTGTACTGGTGTAAATCAATGATGCATGTTTGTGTATAGTGTGTATATATTGTAAAATATGTATATCATTATCAAATTGCATATTTTATTCTTGCATATTATAGCTTATCATTGTGTTCATTGGATTAGCCCAAGAATGTTGGTTCTGAATTGTTTATTTTTCCATTTTTATGTTAATTTGTTCCTTACTAGAATTGATTTCAAATTTTGTGCCTTATTTCAGGAGAATTTACAAGTTACTCTCGGGCAGTTTCCAAGCTATGCTTTCTTAAATATTTATCTAAGAGTCAGAGATAATATATTCAACTTAGGTATCTCTTGTTTGGGCTTTCAAGGGACATAAAAGGTAGTCTGCATCTGAGATTCTCCACTAATTAGTCATGTAGACTAGTCAGGATCCTGAGAAATTGCCAGATAAATTTTCCTACATGTTGCACACAATTTGTAACTCACTGTATCCAGGGAAAATGCAAACTAAAATGTGGAAAAAAAACAAAAACAAGAAAAGCTTTAGTGTTAATAAATGGAACAACACTGGCAATGCATATATCTTAATCCCCTTAACTTCTTTTTCTTTTTTTGCTTTTATAAATGAAGACTCTGTTCCATGAAAATGTGAAAGTTATTTTTAAAGAATATGGGAGATTCCCAGGGAAAGAGTAGATCCTCACTGCTGTTCACTTCCCCTCCCCGGACAAAGCCACCAAGACACCTTTGTGCATTTCCTGCTCTTGTGGCTTAAGCTTGAGTGCTGTCTGGAGCTCAGCGTTATGTAAATGTGATGGAATGTTTCTGTCTCAAATTACACTGTCACAAATGTATTGCATTTAATATTCTTATGTATTTAACTCTGCATGTAAAATATTTAGCCTGCTGGAAAATTGTGAATTAGAGTCAAGTGAAATACTGCACTCAAGGTGTAAAGCACATGAAGCTTTTATCAAATCTTTAACTCAAAAATCAACATGATCTTTCACTATGTTAACATACAGAGGATACATACATTTATGTAATTCCAGCAAGAGAGCTCAGCTTAGTTCAGATGTAATAATTCTGTAAAAATTTAGAAAATTTAGAAGATCTCAATTCTAGCTGATTTTAGAAGTGGTTCCATGAACATTTTGTTTATACTAATGAAAACATCTTTTAATTTGGGGCACTGAGAGCCATTGAATGATCTAAAGGGCAAAAAAGGTGTACCCACTTGAAATTCTCTACAGATCTTCTAGTTGTTTCATTGATTTAAAACTGGTTATAGCCCACATGCCACAATTGCTACCCTTTTAACCTTCCTCAATTGGTAGTAAACCTATTTTTCTAATTTTTTCATCTCAAAACTTTTGAATCATTTTATCCTGATTCCTCTTGCTTCCTTCACCAGACAGTGAAGGAAGGAAGTCTTATACCATTCTTGGCCTTTCTTTCTACTATGCCTTGAGTCTGTCAGCAAATCCTATTGGTTATTTCTTGATGAGTGCATGCACATTTTCAGCACATCTGTCACTCTCTCCTGGCCTGACCCTCTATTCCCTCCCTCCTGGGTGACTGCAGTGACTTTCTGCTTGTTCTGCCTGCATCTACTGCTCTTCTCCATAGCATATTTGAGTACAGCAGTTTTACAAACATTGTGTTTCTTCCCAAGCCATCCAGTAGCTCTTCACCTACTCAGGGCCAGAGCCAAAACTCATATATCTGCCTGCCTGCCTGCCTCCTGTCTCTGTCAAATGACAACTGTGCCTGACAGCTTCCATGCCCTAAGAATATAGTGTGTTTCATGCATGAACTATCTATTTTACTTCCAAGAATCTGAAGCAGTGAGCTACCATTCCAATGTAAAGCCAGCCCAGCCATAATTCCCAAATGAGCATGGGAAACACAAGGGCTCAACTAAGAACTACAGAACAAAGGATCCAGGAATAAATTCCAAAAAGGCAGTGTTAGTATGAAGGAACATGGTGCTCTGGAGAAACAATGTTTTATCATTTTGCAGAACATCTGTTTTTGTGATAAGCCCGGCTTCTGTTTAGAATTTATGGAAAGTTAGCTATTATATGTAATTTAAGAATAACTTTACAACTACTAAAAATAAATAAAAAACTTTTCATTTACTAAGTAGAAAATCAAAATGACTAAGACAAGACAGGATTTTTTTATGTATTTGGTACAGGGTCTCATTACACAGCTTGGACTCATAGTGATCCTCCTGTTTTCAGTCTTCCCAGTGCTGGGATTGCAGTCGTGTGCCACCATGCCCAGTTTCAGTGGCTGGCTCAGTGTGCCCAGAGATGGGGACCACATGGCAAGTGGTGCTTGGAATTGAACCCCAATCCCTGAGCTAA